GCGCACTATCCAGTGCGCCACCGGGCCGGCCCTACAGGATGAATTTTTAATAAGAGCCAGAACACACACGTGTGTGTGTGCATAAGAGTTTACGCTTTAAAATATTACTAATAAATACAAAGAAAACTTAAAAAAAAAAAAAAAAAGGTTGGATTAGTAATTTTTTTTCTAATGAGTAAGCCAAAGCACAGAAAAAATACAAGGAAGTGTCACACTATGCATCTGGTTATTTTAGCTCAGTAAATGAGTTTAGTTCTGCTATTACTGGGGATTCACTGCAATGGCCTCTGAACCGTTGAGTCACACGTCCAGTTGTGAACACAAGGCTAGCATGGATGCATTTTTGGAGAGAACAGGTGTTTGCTTCTCAGGAGGCTGTACTCAGATGTTGGTCAAGCAAAGCAAAATTATCAGCTGTGGGCAGCCCAAGCAGCAACCCCATGGGCTTCAGTCTAAGAGAACAGAACAGTTTCCCAAGCATAGAGTGTTCTTCCTGAGTAATGTAGCCTCCGCTTTCAGGAACCAGGCATGGCAGATGATCCCAGAGCATGAAATAACTAGTGCAACCAGTGGCTGCGACTTTCTCTCTTTAAATGAGGCGCCATCCCTGCTGAATGGCCGAGTCTCCCTGCGCTCTACGGCTGCTGCTGGTACTGCCCTTCCGTGGCCGTGTAAAAGTCATCCAGCACGCTCTGTAAGTAATCGAAGGTTGGCCTCTCTTCCGCCTTTTCTTTCCAGCACATCTTCATGATGTCATAGAGCTCGTCCGGGCAGTTCTCCACGCGGGGCATGCGGTAGCCCTGGGACAGGGCGGTCATCACGTCCGCATTCGTTCTCCCTAGGGCAGAAAACACAGACCACTGAGATGCCTGACCAAGGGTCATGCACAGTAGTGGTCTTTTGCCCCTCACCTCCTGCAACCGTGACTGAAGCAGCTTTATAAAGACTGTAGGGGCTGACTGCATCCTCCCCAAATGCAATTCAGTCCTAATACCCAGTACCTCCGAATGTGACTGTATTTAGAGATAAGGCCTTTAAAGTGGTAATTAAGTTAAAATGAGGCCATTAGGGTGGCCCTAATCCAATTGACTGGTGTCCCTTATAAGGAGAGGAAATGAGGACACAGGCACAGAGGGAAGGCCATGTGAAAACACACGGGGAGGGAGGCATCTGCAGGGCCAGGAGAGCAGCCTCAGGAGCCAGCACTGCTGACACCTTGATTTCAGACTTCCAGCTGCCAGAAGTGTGAGTAGTACATTTCAGTTGTTTAAACCACCTGATCTGTGGTGTGCGTTAAGGCAGCCCTAGCAAACTTGTACAGAGGTTAAGGAAATCACTGTAAGCGACTCAATAAATAAATTTTAGTACAGAGGGGATCAGGACAGCATTTAGCTCACAGAAAAACAAAACAAAACAGGCAAACATGGTAAATAGAAGATGAAGCAGGTCCTCCTTAATGACAAAAGGGTACTGGATTTGACTGACCTTTTAAATTAACCACTCAAGCCCAATTCTAACCCTCAATCTCAATTTCTTTTGTAGGGTAGGATTTTTTTTTCATCTTCTGCCTGTAATATATTTACCAAGAAATCATTTTTGCATGCATCTCATACCAAAATTAAATAATATAATATTAATTAATATGTTAATTAATAAAAATAGGCTTTTCATTATAAATTTACCTAAAGTCAGCATCCTTAAATCATCCTTAATCAACAGCCTTAAATCAGACCAATTGATTATGTCTTTGCCAAATAGTTAAAAACCCAGGGATTAATTTGGAAAGGATCGATGGTTTAGATTATGTGAAGGACACCTGTCTGTAACTTGTGCTGGGTATCTTGTGGGAGTCATTGTCTTCTCAGAGCAAGATAGTAACTGAGAGGGAAAAAATCAGACCTGAGTCTCAGCTCTCAAGTGGAGCTACTTCACATACTCACTAAACTGTCCCAGTCTCCAGTGCCTGGACAGAGTCAAAGCTCACACTAACTCTGGAATTTGCATATTCTTAACATCTGGTGAGGAAACTAAGGTGTTCATTATTCCTACTGAGCTTTGCAAGAGGACTGATAATACAGGATGGCTTTCAATATGGTCATATACCTCAGGGTAGTTCAGAAGCTGAACTGTCTCAGGGTAGTTCAGAAGCTGAACTGTCCTGAAAATAGCTTTATGGGGGGGAAAAGGTCATTTTAATAATAACATTTTCCTCCATTATTAAAATGAGATAGAGAAATGTGGTCAGTTAGTAGTTTTAGCAGTACCCACCCACATCTGTATGTTTTGCATGTTCCATGGATACCCTATTCTGCAGGGATGTGAGCTTCTCTAGGGAAGTTTTATTTCATGCAGAATATACACAATAACTGGCATGTGAGAGGAACTCCATTCATCATGACCAGTTTCCTTTCCACGGCTATCTCCTTTCCACAGTTGCAGATTTTACTAATATCAGTCACTGGAAAGATTCTAAAAGATAGGTAGTAGCTTTGAGGGAAATGATTTTTATTAGATTTGAAACAGAATTTCTTTTGAATTTATTCTTTAATCAGTATTTTTCAAATTGTGGGCCATCACTCATTTGGGATCAACAAATTGATGTTTTGGGGCACAAGTGGTATTTAAAAAAATGAATTGTAACAGAACGAAATATATCAGAAAGCACTGCACATAGTAAGTAAAGGTCAGTGCGGTTCTGTGAAACTTTTGCTTTACACGTGGAGTGGGTTTCTGTGTAGTGCTCACAACGGGTCATGCTCAGTGAACTCTGAGGTCCTCTGCTCCTAAGTTTTCCTCTTCTATGGATACAGTGACCTAAGGGGCCCTTCCTGGATTTAAACTCCTGAAAGAAGACATGATTATTTCTGTTTTGAAAAAGCCCTTGTTTTTAAAATTGAAAGATCCAAGTGAAATTTATAATCATTCAGATCTCTTGAGAGTTGTTTACATGGTGAATTAACTTTTCTCAAGTCACTTCTGAAACACCATTTTCAGAAATTCACGTAACTGAAATTTTCTAACTGGAAGACTTCATTTGATTCTCATTGCTCAAAGCCACAACAGCTAATCTGGGTCACTTTCTTTATTTGGGGGGGTTTTAGTCTCCATAAAATCATATTGGCTTCAGCATTGCTCTGGCTCTTGTAACTAGCCAAGCTCACTTGGATAAATTTCTGAAGAAATATCTGTGTTTACTTCTGCATGGGCTTTGGGTGAAGTTCTGGGATCCTGGTGGGAAGACTAGCATCCAGGACGATATAAATAGCACCGGTTAATATTTCTTTCACTTCCTTCCTGGAGAAACCCCAGTTGCATAAAAGGTCAGAATGTGCCCACGAAGGAAAAATTTTTCTTTTTTAAGGTCCCCCTTGCTCCACTGCAGAATTTTTCTTCCTCCTTCTTGTATGTTCTCTTATCTGTGAAGAACTCTCTCAATGATACAGATAAAGGCCAGGCAAGCTCCATTCTGCCTGGAGGATTTGACTTCATAAAAGAGATTAAAAGAAGGGAATCTGAAGTCTACAGTTCTATGTACAAGCAAACCAAGATGTAAAATAAGCTATTAAATGTCTTATGGAAGAAAGAAAGTGGGGAGAGAGACCTCAGCCCGATCCTAAGATTATACTTGATAGTTGGTACTCGGCCTGTTGCTGTCGTGGAGAAAGCAAATACCTGTTGGCTGGCAATCTCCTTGTAGGGCAAGCAATTTCCTATTCCGTCCTTCATTCTTTCAGACACTTATTGAGCATTCACTATGGGTCATGAGCTAGCACTAAGCTCTGAGACATACAGAGATGATTAAGACAGAGCATTGTCCCCAAATGGCACACAGCCCAATAGGGAAGATACCCTCACTAGAGGGAGGTGGTGGGGAGAGGAGGTGACATCTGGACTGTGTAGGAATTAGCAGAGACTAACAGTTGGTAAAGGAGCACAGGAAGGAGAAAAGTGTAGTACAACAGAGACTAGAAAGGGAATTGGGGTTAGGGACAGGAGGGGGGACCCAGCAGCTCCTCAAACCATAACAGGCTCTAAAGACACAGGGCCTCTGTGTGGGTGAGGGAGAATCAGCATCAGCTACTCTGAGACCACAGTCTCCCACCCCATAATACTCCTTCCAAAAGGGTAAACTCTTTTTCCTTCCTGAGCATTGCTTGTGATTGAGGTGAGCATTTGCAGCAGGAGGAATTTCTTGGTTCCAGTTCACACGTGGCATTAAATGCTAGATATATATCTGGTAAAAAAAACAGCCAGAAAAGACATGATGCTTCAGAAAACTGTCATTTTCAAACCTTTGTTTTCTTTACATGAGCAAAGCAAAACAAGACCCTAACCACAGAGACCCCTCTTTTTTCATTACAAAACTTATATAGAAATATAATCACAGTTTTGGTTTTAAGGTAGTGAAGCAAGGGTCTTTTGCCTCTCCATCTTTTTTTTCCCTCTAATTCATCCTCAAACAAAAAATGAACAAGACATAAAAATTCCATCTTTGGATAAACTAAGAGGCAGAAGTGGTCTCAGCCAAGAGGAAAAGAGTGTAACCAAAGTTTCTACAGAGAGGGACACCAGTGACAGGCAGGATGGCCCATCCCAACAAGCCCTGGGAAGGCTCTTATTGGAGGGGCCAGCATACCACAGCGAGGGTGGGGCCAGCAGCTGCAGACAGGACCCAGACAGAGGGTACCCAGAGCCTGCCTGGCAGTGCCCAGGTTAATGCTGGAGAAACTGAATGGAGAAGCTCCATCCATGCTCGGGAACAGCAGGCCCAGCAGAGGCAGGGGAAAGTGCAGAAGGAAAGACTAGCCAAAAAGCATTGGAAATCTCGTTTCTATGTCTGT